AAAAATGGTCGTCTGCAAACAACAGCCTTCTCGTCTCGACGTCTTCTACACCGATGCACTCATCGCATGCAACGTTGAAAGGTTTCGAATTAACGCCATTTAATATGACGCAGCATCATATGGTGATTGCATGTCTCGCTGCAACTGGCGATCAGTTTCATGTTTTCGGGCACTCCCGCAACCAACACGCCCCACACCTACTCTCTGTGGTTTTCTTTCTGAAGAAGCTGCTACCACCTACCACCCCAATTCTCCAGTCCACTAGCGTCTTCCCTGTAGTCACTGCAGTTTGATCAACAGGTGTTAGCCAAAACGTGTTTTTTCAGTTAAAGCGTTAAGCATCTCACGGTGAGTTTCATGGATTCTACCAGCCTTACCATTTTTATAGCTTGTAACAACTTCTGTGACTCTCTGCTGAATGACCGTTCCCTGCTGCGCTTCGGGCAAGTCTTAATGTGGTTGCTCAAGATTAAGCAGTTGGTCAAAGTACTTTTGCCAGCGCCGCACTGTCACTCTTCTTTTTAAGAAGGCATCTTTATTTGTCCTTTAGCACTCTTAGACCGCCCTTCTTTCTATCTCGCATGCGACAGGTGGTCTGCTAGAATGCCTTGTTTGTTATCTGGAATCTCGACTGCAGCACCTCAACAGACTTTTTCCAGGAATCTGCTTTCGCTGCCGCTTTGCACATTTCTTTGTACCGCATTTGAGTTCAAGGTTCTTTACCCCCAAACCACGTTTTGGATGCAGCCTTCTGACTGATAGCCAGTTGAATTACTGGTGTTCACTACGAAGTTCCTTGCTGCTCCCAAGCGGTCATTTAACCCGTCTTAAACCACAGTGTTCAGCAGCAGCACTGAGTATGTAGCTCTTAAAGTGCTTCTACTTGGTTTCAACGGTCATCACCGGTTCCCGAATCTGTTAAACCGTCGTGCGATGTTATTTGCAAGTTTCGCCCTCGTATATAGTGTTTTCCATTTGATTCTCTGGTTGCTTCTGCCACCAGATCTTCGCATGGTACTCCGTTCTTACAGTTTAGTGTGCCAACAACAAGATGGTGATCGGTTGATGTCTGTGCGCCTCTCTTAACGCGAACATCCATTACTGCACTTCTTATGTCAGACTATACAATTCTCAAATCAGTCATCGACTTCTGTGCACTAGCTTCATTTTTCTAGATATGCTGATGCCAGAATTAGGTATTCATAGCAGGCAGCCCGCTGTTTCCTCAAAATGCGACAGCTTCATACCGTTATTGTTGAGGTCCTTTTGGGCTTTCTTTCCATTCACGCGTGTTTGTTCCGATATGTGCGTTGAAAGCGCCCATTAGAATGAGGTACTCCGTAGTTGACAATTCATACAGAGCACCCTTCACTTTCTCAAGGAACGACTCATATTCTCTCTCCACACTTTGCGCACAGACATGTAACAAGGTTGATGCTTTAGCCTGTGTAGCTTCAGCCATAGGATTACTACCCTTCCGCTGACAGGCTTCCATTCAATAATTCTGTCAGCCTTGTTTGGTTCTACCAAAAGACCAACACCGGCTTGAGCGGGCGTCATGATTTTGACACCTGAGAATAGCTTCCACCCGCAGATGTTCAGGATTCCAGATCCTCAGCGTTTCGTTGATGAGAGTTCAATTATGTAGAGTTGGTGCCTTTCGGCCTCATCAACTGGCTCCTGCTCTTTCCCTTTAAGTGAGGCAATATTCTGGTTTCTGCCTTTGAGTTCCCACTGATGGTATCGTTCTCATGGATTTTTATCTGACATACCATAATGACATTGTGCTGTCCACCTGCGTTTACTCCGGGTAGCGCTTTCGCTGCAGACTCATATCACCGTCATCTCAGTGAAAATCTGAGCTTGACCAATGTTTTTTGGTTAAAACATAGGCGGTTACAGTGAAGAATTCACCATCTGTCTTTTCATTTGTGTCCAATACCACTGAATTTGCAATTTGTTGTTATAGCTTAGTTCAGTCATTCGCTGCTGTCTGATTACGGATTAACTGCTTTACTGTTCATATTGTTTCCTAACCTATTGTTCATTGTCACCTAACTGAATTAAAATTTGGTAGTTGCTACTACAAACGGTTTCTTTGAAATCCAGTTTGGGTCTTTATGTGTAATCCTATAAAATGTGGAATAATTTTGAGACAAATGAAGCTCTTTGCCATGATTTCGTTAAATTCGGGGGCATCGAGTCCTAACGTCGAAGAGCATCGCTAATTTTTGGATGAGCATCGCACCCAGTTTCATAAGGATGGTCAGTTGGCGAGCTGAACTACGTAAGCATGCTTTCAGTGATTCACCGTGTCACTAAGAAAATATTCGATATCTTCCAGCTTGAACTGTTCCTAGTTTTGTCACATCAGATTCCAACATAATGTTGTTTTTTTGCCATAATGACATGATTGTGTCATCTTCGTGTATTGCAAACGTTTTAAGTTAGCATTTCACATTGCCGATGATTTCTCGTGACCATACTTCAGAATCTGGTTATTTGGAGCCGGGATGCACGAAAGTGCTCGAAGATCCGCAGTACTTTATCGTGTGGATCAAATTGGAGGAGGAACAGAGCTCTATTTACATCGAAAGTCTTTTGTCCGAAAGTTGTCAGTGGGAGCGGCGTTTTCCTCAGGAAGAAAATGCGGACGACTTCAAGGCATGTTTTGTGTTTTGTTTCTACTGGAATGCGTTGTCGTAATTGTTTATTTAGGTCCCGATTTGTACGGACAACTTTTTGCTGATGTTGCTGTCGATGACCAAGCGGTTTCAGGTTCTGCCTTCTTTCGAGTGTCGTTTGCGCTTCGCAAGGTTGCAGCGTTTGCTGGTGGCCAACTATCGTTTGCATTTGCAGCAGTTGTCCAGCAGCTTGCAGTCAGTTTGGTTATCGCCGTTTTCGGAAGTGATCAACTCAGCTGAGTACATGGCATACGTTCTGCGCCGCTGGCAAGACCAAACATTGTACATAGAACTTGAGGAAGGCATATTCGACGAAATGATCGTGCTGTTTACCGACTTAAAGGTCAGTGATTACTGCTGAAATTTTATACAACGAGAGGAAGTCACTGTACTGAACCACCAAAGTGTAGTATTGCTGACCGCGAATATCTTTTAATTTTTTTTACCTTTCACCGCTTTCCTACCAGACTGCTTAACTAGGGGTTGATATAGAAAATTTTGCACTGCAGTTCGGTTAGAAATGCGCTTTTTTACTTTTCATTGCTACAACGCTGATCGAATACTTGTGTAGAAGTGCCTGGAGTCACGTTATGAAATCTTGCTTTGTATATAAGATCCATAACCGTAGTAAACCGTTTTCCAGATTTAACGCTATACTGTGAGAAGCATGCCAAAAGTTGACTGTTTAAGCTCTTTTCAGCATCATTGTCGCGTTCTTTGTTATCGTTTGCATGATATTCACGCTACATGTCAGAGCCTCAGTAGGTCGATAACTTTGACCTTAAACGAGTCGCTCACGACATCATAGTGAAGTTCTTCCATACCAATCAGCCGCTCAGGGAATCTTCAGTGATTACGCATATTTATGCAGTTTTTCATGCATGCGGCTCCATGTTTCAGACGCGTATCACGGAGGTCAGTGATCAATGTCTTTTTTTATTCAGACGTATTACCAGATCATGCGAAATGCATCCTTTTGTTTGCGTCGGGAAGAAAAATGG